TCATTTGCCGCTGCTCTGCAACAGCTCGCCACGTTCCACTTTCTCTGCCTCTTTTGCCCACATTCTATATTATTATCACTTTTTTCTTTGCAAAATAAAATTATTTTGGTTGAAATCCTCAAATTCTGTAATTCTGTTCACAAATGATAACTTTTTGCTAACACAACTGGGACTTTAATACGCGTGAGAGCTGCTAATGGCGCAGTCTCGGTACGTGTACTTATATAACTTATATAAAACGAATATGTTGATATGGTTGAGCGATAATGCGCTCATTTTCCGTTCGTGCAAATTATATATTCTTCGGCAGTTGGCTTTGTTTAGTTGCGAAAAATAAAACAAGGAAGGGTTAAGTTCGCGTGCAACCCAACATTTTATCCTCTTGCAAATTGCAAGAATTAAAACCAAAGAAATACTTTAAAGTGTAAAACTAATCATATGGAGTAAAGTCAGCCGAATGTTCGAAAACCCTGATATTAGTTATATAGGGGCTAAACCAAGGCTCAAAAATATATTGTTATCAATAAAACATGCTCTCTTAATTTCAATGGGATAACTCACATATTGCCGATATATACGAATTTCGAAAAATTTTATATTACTAAGGGAAGTATTGGTCCATTTCAACCCATTTTTGATATACAGACATATCATTGTCAGAGAAGGATTACCCTAAATTTCCATTTTATAACACACACATTGATCAACATTTTCTTCCAAAAGTCATCTATAGGTACCGACGTCTAAATATTCCGTCTTTTCTTCCTAGGGGCTTGAATTGTTTTTGTGATTGTGCTATATGGGAGGWAGGCATGATTTTACCTATTTTCACAATGTGGCATAAAATTGTAAGGAGAATACCACCCGTTAAATTTTGTCGAAATCAGACAGTGTTATTATTTAATTATGTTATTGATTTCTCGCGCTTTTAGTAGTTTTTAACATTACCGTTATATAGGGAGTGAACGAGCTTACCCTCCGATTCCATACATTTTCACACTGTCGRCAGAAGWTCTTATAAGATTTWTACTCAGCGAATTTGGTTGTTGTAGCTAAAGTGGTTTAGGAGATATGTACATTAAACATATTAAAGTGCGGGGTCACCCCCATTTTTTCCAAAAAAATGTGACAAACRCAGGTTCCCCTTGCTACTGCGATACAAAGTACCAAATTACAGATTTATTCCTTATGTTTTCGGTTAATGGAGATTTGTGGGCGTGGCAGTGGTCCGATTACACCCATCTACGATCTCAAATTTTGTTTGTACTAAGGAAGCTACAACCAAGTTTCATCAAGATATTTCAGTTTTTACTCAAGTTACAGCCTGCACGAACGAACGGAMAGACAGGCAGTCAATCGGATTTAAATTTCTCTTGGCATCCTGATCATTTAATGGTGAACGAAACTGTTTGCCTCCTTCCTCTTAGCCACCACTTACCTCAGGGCTGAATATTTAAAAATATACAGTCCATTTGATTTGTCTTTTTTCTTCGTTTTTATTCAAAGCATCGACAATTGAACTTCGTTCGGTGCGAAATCGAGATGTCTTATAAGTGGTGTCTTCATGTGTGGATCGCGTTGGTGTAGTGTGTTGTCGCCCAATGGCGCGTGTTGAGGAGGKAGAGCTAACTTATCTATACATCAAGGCCTCCYTAGGCGAATATTAGCCTAGTAGTCGCTGTAGTAGCTGCAGCGTGGCAACAATGTTGCTAAGGCCAGTGGAGCGATGTACACTTGTCTGTGGCGTGTAACGTCGCAAAGCAGTTTATGCATCGCCTTTGAGCCTGAGCAACCTTCTGCCGTTGCATGGGCTGCATGCTGCGAAAAATGGTTCAATGTTGTAGCCGTAGTAGGTGACGACATAAGGGATAGCGGCTGCGCTGAGGTTCCACAACGGGTGCTGAGGAAGGTGGTAGTGGTGGTTGACACTGGGGTTCATGGTGCTGAAGTTGTCCCAGGGCGCGGCACGGTTATAGTTGACCTCACCGTTGTCGTTGGCATTGTTGGCATCTCCACATCCATKGTTATCTGTGTGCAGTGGCGTAGCCCGCCCCGGGGGATTAGGGGTGACACACGAGCCCGACTATGACAATCAGTTCTACCCATAAAAATTCGTAAATCTGTGTTAGAGAGCATAACCGCCACTAATCAAATAATCTAGGTAACTATAGTATCGTACCACGAGCATAATAAATTGATATTTAAAAACAAAATGTGCATACTGTCAATC